CATCCACCCATCCATCCATACACACACACACACACACACACACACACACACCCATCCATCCACCCATCCATACACACACACACACACACACACACACACACACACACACACATCCATCCATCCATCCATTTATCCATCCATCCATCCATCCACCCATCTACCTATCCATCCAACCCAGGCCTGGGAGGCAGATGAGGGGTAGAGGGCTTATTTAGCATGTACAAGGCCCAGACTCCAGCCCACAACCACAACACACAAAACCACCTGAACAACCACGACTCTGGTACCTCCAGACCTCTCTGAATCAGGTGTCACCCCCATGTCGCCTCAGGAGCACTGACAAAACTTCTGAAGGTTATACTTTCCCTTGTCCCCTAAGTTTCATCATATTTTATTTTTGTGTATGTGTGGGAGTGTATATGTGAATACAGATGCCAGAAGAGGGTTCAGATCCTCTGGGGAATGGAGCCACACAGTTGTGGTGCTGGAAACCAAACTCGGGTTCTCTGTGAGATCAGTATGCAATCTCAACTGCAAAGCCTTCTCCAGCCTGGGTTGTTCTCTCTCCACCTCCTTACCATGGTCCTCAACTGCCTCATCTCAACATAACCAGACTCATTCTTTTTTTTTTTTTTTTACATTTTAGATTTCGTGTGTTGAAGTGTTTTGCCTTCATGATGGTATGTGCACCATGCATGCCTGCTGCCCTTAGGTCAAAGAGAATATTGGATCCCTTGGAACTGGAGTCTGGGATAGTTGGGAAGCACCACGTTGTTCTGGGAGCCCAAATCCTCTGCTGGAACAGCCAGCGCTCTTAGGCATTGAGCCATCTCTCCAGTCTCCCAGAATTGCCTTTTAAAAATGTAGGTTGGGTCATGGCATTCTTATACTTCAAATCCAACAGTGACCTCCCATTTCAATCAGTAAGTATACCTTCTCCACTCTTTTTTCCCTCTCTGAGACAGTTTCTCTGTAGCTTTGGAGCCTGTCCTGGAACCAGGCTGGCCTCAAACTCAGAGATCTGCCTTCCTCTGCCTCCTAAGTGCTGGGATTAAAGGCGTGCACTACCACCGTCCAGCACCTTCTCCACTCTTAATGTCCCTAGAACCCCATCACAAATTGCTCTCCTTGCTCAACCGTATTCTACCAACACCTTCTTTCCTTGCTAGCTCTTGAAAGTTTATATGAGAGCTTCCTTCCTCCAGATCTATACTAGTCATAGGTATATTATGGTTCTCTAGAGTAACAGAATTTACAGAATGATATATGAATATATGTGTATATATATATATATATGTATATATATATATATATTTTAAATAAAGGAGACTTATTGGAATGACCTATAATTAGCCTTAGTCCAGCTAATCCAACAATGGCTGGCTATGAATGGGAAGTCCAAGAACCCAGTAGTTGCTCAGTCCATAAGGCTGTGTGTCTCTGTTGGCCTTCAGTATATGCTGGAAACCCAAAGAAGTAGGCTTCAGTGCCAGTGAAGGAACGGATGTGTTAGTAAGGCAGGGTGAGCAGGCAAAGAGCACAGCTTCCTTCTTCTGTGACCTTATATTGGCTTCCAGCAGAATGTGTGGTCCAGATTAAGGGTGTGTCTGTCCTCCTCAAGATCCAGATCAAAGGTGTGTGTCTTCCTACCTCAAAGGTTCAGACTAGAAGTGGATTCACCCACTTCAAACCAAGCAAAAACAACCTCTTACACCCTCACAAGTGTGTCCTTCATTTCTGTACTGTAGTTCATTCCAGATGGAGTCAAGCTGACAACCAAGAATAGCCATCACAAGTCCACCCCTTGTCAACTTGGCACAATCATATTTCCTTATGTCATGATTAATTTCCAAATTAAAACAACAACCAGGTCATATAACGCCTAAACATGACGTAATTATCTCATGTTCAATTGCAAAAACATTATATATAGTTAACCAGGTCATTATTATGCCCAAAATGCTAGAACTGTCCCTTGTACAACTGCAAATGCATTATACATTTAGAATAGGTGGCAATGTCCCTTGGAGGACATTCCTTTAGTATCTCAAACTTAAATATGATAACCATTGATATTCTCTTAATTGAGGTTAAATCACAATGGCTATCTCTCCTATTTCCTTCAAGACTTGGCATAAATGCTTCCGCTCTGTCTTCAAACACTACTTAAACTTGCTACTTAGTAATTTCTCTATCTTTAACCCCTAAATTATGCTTTAATTTTTCCCTCAAAATATCCATCATCTCATAGCAATTTAATGGCATGGCTCGGCAGTGACAGTAAACACCTTTAATCCCAACACTCAGAAGGCAAACGCAGGCAGATCTCTGTGAGTTCAAGACCAGCCTGGTCTACAGAAAGAGTTCCAGGGCTGTTGCTGTGGGGACCACGGCTGAGCACACAACCCCGGCCTGAGGTGGTGGTGGTGGGAAACCCACCGCAGTTTTCTGCGACATCATGGAGGGTGGTGGGGGAAGTGGCAACAAAACCACCGGCGGGTTGGCCGGCTTCTTCGGAGCAGGAGGTGCAGGTTACTTGAATGATTTGGCCTGCGTTCTGCTAACTGGTATGAACCCCCTGTCTCCGTATTTAAATGTGGATTCACACTATCTTGTTCAGGATACTGATGAATTCATTTTGCCAACTGGCGCTAACAAAACCCGAGACAGACTTGAGCTAGCTTTCTTTACCATCTTCGGAGGATGTTGCATGACAGGGGCTGCATTGGGGGCAATGAATGGTCTTCGGCTAGGATTGAAGGGAACCCAGAGCATGGCCTGGTCCAAACCAAGAAATGGACAGATTTTGAATATGGTGACTAGACAAGGGGCACTTTGGGCTAACACTCTAGGTTCTCTGGCTTTGCTCTATAGTGCATTTGGTGTTATCATTGAGAAAACACCGGGTGCAGAAGATGACCTCAACACAATAGCAGCCAGAACCATGACTGAAATGTTGTAGGTGGTCTTCGAGGAATGGCACGCGGAGGCCTGGCAGGACTGACACTCACCAGTCTCTATGCGCTGTATCACAACTGGGAGCACATGAAAGGCTCCCTGCTCCAACAATCACTCTGAAGGCCTTGGCCACCTCAGGATGGGGGACATTCCATAATCATCCAGACAGACTAATAAGTCCGTCTGGGGTAGCTTTCTCTCTTGTACTACAATTACTTTGAACAGTTGGAGACTCTGGCCTGTACTATGTGCCCTTAGTGAGCGGAAGCCAAACCCTTTGGTGGCTCACTGAGTATGTGTTCTCTTCTCCTTTGGAGATGGTCTTACACCTGTTTCTCTCCTGCCCCCAAACTGGAAAGCCACTTACTCTCCAAATTCAGGCTGCACTTATTTTCAGTGCTTTTATCACCATGTTTATCAGTTAAAAATCTAAAGCGAATGTTGCCCTGTATTCCAAATAAAGGGTGAAAATAGAAAAAAAGAAGGAAAGAAGGAAAGAGAGAAAGAGAGAAAGAGAGAAAGAGAGAAAGAGAGAGAGAGAGAGAGAAAGAAAGAAAGAAAGAAAGAAAGAAAGAAAGAAAGAAAGAAAGAGTGAGTGAGTGAGTTCCAGGACAGCCAGGACTGTTACACAGAGAAAACCCATCTTGAAAACAAACTAAAACTATAGACTTCATGGAGACAGGAATATTTCCCTCAGATTGTTTTACATTTTATGTTGTTTTGACTCAGTGTAAGGTGGATATGTTCTTGTCATTTTATACTGTTTCTTACTGAGATTTTATACACAAAACAAAAATTTCCCTAAAATATTTATTCACTTATTTAGGTGTATGCATGTTTTACCTGCAGAGGCCAGAAGAGGGCGTCAGATCTCCGAGAACTGGGGGAACCGAGAGTTGTGAACTACCTGGTGGTGCTGAGGACTGAATTGGGGTCCTCGACAGGAATAAGTGTCATCTCTCCAGCCCCTCCCTCAGACTCTTTTGTTTTGGTTTTTCAAGAGAGGGTTTTTCCGTGTAGCCTTGGCTGTCCTGGAATTCACTCTGTAGACCAGGTTGGCCTCAAACTCAGAGATCCCCCTGCCTCTGCCTCCCAAGCTCTGGGATTAAAAAACACTGCCGCCCAGCTAACAGGCACAGACTGGACGGGCACTGTTCCGGCATACTGCCAGCCATGGCTTGTAGAATGGGTCTATCAAGACCCCTGCTTCTGCTCCCGAAGCAGCATGTCAACTTCTCCAGGTATCTTCTACTCAGACACTTGATTAGCTACTGGAAAATGCAGATTCCTGGACTCCCCTCCCACCCCACCCCATCCTCAGAGTTCATAGTCTAGTGAAGTTCTAAAGAGCTTATAATTTTTAAGTTGTATTTCATCTTGAGATTGTATTTCTAGGTGCACTTGTAAGAAACAATCTAAGAGACCTGAAGTATCCTTCACCAATTCCTCCAATGGTAATTAACAACTTGTACATCTATAGCATAGAATTTTGACACTTACATAAGATATATATCTTTGCTACTGTTACATAAATCTCTTGGGCGGCCATTTTACAATCATAACCACTGACCTTTTTCACACTTTCATAAATCCTGGAATCTGATCTGTCTTCCATTTCTGCGATTTAAAATATGTTATACAGGCTGGAGAGATGGCTCAGCAGTTAAGAGCACTGACTGCTCGCCAGAGGACCCGGGCTCAATTCCCAGCGCCCGTGTGGGGCTGGCAACTGTCTGTGACTCCAGTTCCCAGGGAACTGACACCCATGGCCAAACACCAATAAACACAAAGTCAAAATAAATTTTAAAAATGTTATATACGTGAAATAATACAGTATGCAACTTCTCTGAATTGGCTTGTTTCATTCAGCACGGCTCATCCAGTGGTGGCCTGAGTCATTAGCTGGTTCCTTTCCATCACTGACTAGTACTAAATGAATCAAGCTTTGATTATTTATTCACTGAGGAGATTCTGGAATGTTCTTAGTCTGGGTATATTAGCAAGTCACTGCAGAGTCTGTGTGTGGGTTTCTGTAGCGTATTTAAGCTTTTGTTTCTCTGGAGTAAATGCCCCAGTGTGCAACCACTGGGTTGTGTGACTGTGGCATATTTAGTTTGTTTAAAAGAATAATCTGCAGGTCAGGCAGAGTTAAACTCTGTGAGTTCAAGGCCAGCCGGGTCTACAAAGTGAGTTTCAGGACAGGCTCCAAAGCTATACAGGGAAACCTTGCCTGGAAAAACAAGCAAACACACACACACACACACACACACACACACACACACACACACACACACA